AAATTTTCAACACAAGTTCTGGATCCAACATCCTGAGTTCAAATCCAGGCCCTGCTGCCTCCTAGCTGTGTATTCCAACCAGTGTGTGCCTCAGTCTCCTCACAGGTAAAATGCAGATAATAATAGGGACTCCCCAGGTTGAGAGGATCAAATGAGCCAATACATGTAGGGCACTTAGGGCAGTACCTGGCACATGGTAAGTGCCCAGTAAATATTCTTTTTATTAAAAGGGGGTGATGAGAAACTGCAGGGAGATTGCAGCTCAACTGGAAACGGGAAAAAGCAAACTTGGGTTAAAAAGGCACCCTGTTCCCGTCACCGGCCCCTCCACAAGGCCTGCCACTGCGGGCCCCACTTGTGGGCATGGGCACCTGTTTGAGAATGTTCTGCTCTCTCATCAGTTTCTGCCGTTCCCGATTGGGCTTGCTGACCATGATGTCCAGGACGTTCTGCCCATTGTTAGGGACATCACTGACGAAGAACACCAGGTCCTCCAGCAGCTGGATAACAAACCTTCACAAAGGGACACAAGGGATGACAAGTGTGAGGCACCAACCCTGGGAAAGCTCTCAGGACCGATCACATGCTCCCCACCCCTAGATTCCAAAGTGCCCCTAAGACAAAGCATCTCAGTGTACTCCAATCTGAAAACAACAGGGCACAAGGGCTCTGCATTCCATTCTGACTGCCACTTACTAGCTGTGTGACCTTGGACAAGTCTCTTAACCTCTCTGAACCGCAGTCCCATCATCAGTAAAAGAAGGGTAACAACAGATTCATCACAGGGTTAGCTCTGGGTGTGTGTGAGCAATGAGGCAGAGGTCTGTGGCCAGCCAGGGCCCCACAGGGACCAGTCCCCATCTCTGTCTCCCCAATCCCAGCCCAGCCGGCCCGGCTTCTGCTTTGTGATGCCTTTGTTCGTGAAATGCAGACCCCAGGAGGACAGGCCTCTCAGAAACATCTCAGTAGCCCTGCCGCACGGCCCACCTGCGGTCATTCTGGCTGATGAAGCCCTCGTTCAGTTTCTCCACGGCGCTGGCCAGCATGGAGCTGGCATCGTTGGCAAAGTCCAGGTCTCGGATCTCAGACACAGGAACTGACACAATGGCAAAGGCCTCCTTGTCCTCCTTGGTGGGGCAGGTGCCCAGCTGCAGGGACAGGGGTCAGCAGGGAGCCAGGGCCAAGCCCAGACACCAGCCCGGCCCCCCGGCCCCAGGCGGCCCGCACCATGAGCCGGATGGGCCGCTCCTCCTCCACGTCGATGGGCACGTTGGTGCTCTGGATCCACGTGTTGGTGCAGAGGTGCCGCAGTCGGACGTACGAGTTCCTGCAGGCGGGCCAGGGGCAGGGCACAGAGTGTACCTGGAGCACGCCCACAGTGTGCCCTCCCTAGCCCCCAGCGGCTTCACCTCTTCCACCTGACCCCACACGCAGCAGCCGTGGGACAGCAGTAGGTCCTGTCCCCTCAGGAGCCAGAGCGGCTGCACCAGCAAACACCCCAGGCCAGGCCCATGTGCTTCACCCACACTCCCCAAACCCAAAGCGCGCCACAAGCCAAGGCCTGTTTGTAACCCTGTTTGGGACCAAAATTCATTTGAACAAATGAGGCTATTTCGACTACTTATCCCATTTAGCATGAACATGCAGAAATACTCATGTCTTTGATTATAAAATATAATTATCTTTCAGAAATAAAAAGAAATCTGAATCTCCACACACATCTAGTCCCAAGAGTTGCAGGTAAGGGATCGTGGGCCTATATTGGCTCCACCAATTTATTCTCCCATCAGCGCTGGCAATGGGTAGACTTGATATTCCCACTTGACAGATGAGGAAATCGGGGCACAGTGACTGAGTAAGCTGCCTGAGGTCCTACAGCTAGTAAATGCTAACGTCTGATTGACACCCGGGGAGTTTCTTGATGTTACATCCTAGAATCTTGGAGTTGGGGGCCTTACAGGTCAGAGCCCAGCTCCCTGCCCAGTGTACCCCAGACAAATTATAATGCAACCTGTGCCTGAGTACCCAGACTGACTAGGGTAACCAGCTGATAAAGAGCACTGGAGAGGGCCAGCTGAGTGGCATGTTGGTTAAGAGCTGGCTTGGGACGCCAGCTCTGAGCAGCAGGGCCCCGGTTCGGATCCCACTTGGGCCAGTGACACTGCCCTCTACAGCTAAGATGGTGAACAACAGCTCGACCTGGAGCTGGGCTGCCATAAGTCACCGCCAGTGTAGGCTGCAGCCCCTGCTACAGTGGGCTGCCATAAGCTACCATGTGTGGTTGGCAGCCAGTGTGAGCAACCAGCAGCTGGTGTGAGCTGCCAAGAGCCACCGTGAGGGGCCGTCCAGAGGCCGGCAACTAATCTGTCTCACCCAGGAAGAGCACAATGATAATACCAACATGGGCCAGTGAGGCGACTTCCTCCACAACTAGACTGAAGAACAAAAGGACAGCAACTTGTCTGTTTTCCTTCCCCAATTCCCCAACGCTGTTCCCCCTCTCCCAATTCCCCAATAAAATCTTAAAAAAAAAAAAGAGCACTGGAGAGAAGGCATTTTGAAAAAGCAACTAGCACAAGACAGCACCCAGTATGTGCAGCACCCAGGGCTGGGCAAGTATTCAATGGTGGTTAGCTGCCTACACGTCTCAGAGCTCAATCCCCAGAGGGACAGGTCACGCATGTCCTGAGGCCAGAAAACCTCAGGAGAACAAAGGAGCAGGGGACGCAGGGAGACCAGGACAGGATGGCCCACGCTGGGCACCCCCGCCAGCCCCCAGACACGTGGCGTCTACCCACCGGGGCACGAAGGAGTCAGTTTTCTGCAGCGTGGTGGGGTCCAGCTCAAAGAGCGAGGCGATGTCATTGCCATGGGGCACAGCCACCAGGCGATATTTGATCTTCTCCCCAGCGTTTCGGCGACCTGAGCGGCCCTGCGCACCCTGGGGTGAAGACCCCAACTCAGGCAGGAGCCCCACCCTCATGTCAGGCCCCCTGAAACCACTGGGATCCCACCTGAGAGGCCTTCTCCCTCCAGCCCCCTTCCCAGGGTTCCATGGCCTCCCCTGCCCACCCCGAGAGCCATGCACGGTCACTCCTCCCTGGCCCTGGAGCCCCGCTTTGTCCTTACCACGCCTACTGCCTTGGAATCAGACGCATCACCCTTGTAGCTGGGGTTCTCCTGGACAAAGATNCAGTGTGTGCCTCAGTAAATACTTGCTGGCCGAGTAAAAGCACGAGTGAGGGAGTGGGCAGGCCAGCAAGCCGTGAGTGAGGGCAGCAGACCGGGAGGGCTCAGGCCCGGCGGGCGGCACCTGGTTCTTGCGGTAGTCCTCCTGGGAGTGCCGCAGCACCCGGTAGCAGAGGCGAAACATGTGCTGGTAGGGGGCGTTCTTCTGGTCAGACAGCTCCTCCAGCCGCACCAGGGGGCCCTCGCCCCCCTTGTCACGGAACGGGGCCTTCAGAATGCCAAAGATCTGGAAGAGCAGGGAGAGTGAGGAGGGATCCCCCACACCTACCTGCACCCCTCGTGACCCCAGGAACGCTAAGCCCCAAACTGACCCTGCCCCAAAGCCACCCTCGCATTAACCATGAGCTGATTCTAAGCTGGACAACCCCAGCCTACCTGCCATCGGCCAGCTCCAGCCCTCACTCCCTAGTGGCCGGAATCCCAGGGCAGCCCTCAGCCCACCCTTGCCAACGTGAATTCTAATCCCAGTTCAGATCCTGGGCCTCACTGAGCGTCTAGGAGAAGAGCAAGGAGCCTGAGGCTAAGAGAAAAGGCAGGCCAGGCCAGTGTGGCCAGAGCTTCAAAGATGAGACACAGACCGATCTCGTTAAAAAAAAAAAAAGTAATTATAAAAATTTTAAAAGGCAGGTATAGGTGGGGGTGAAAAACTATTCTACAACAGAAACCAAAGAGACAGAAATGAATGGAGTGAGAATCCTTGTTCAAAAAAACAAGCTTTAAAAAGACATTTTGGGAAAGGTAGAGAAATTTGATATGGATTAGGTATTATTGCTCATTTCCTTAGGTGTGATAACAGTGCTGTGCTTATAGAGGACCACATCCGTATTCTCAGGAGGTGCACACTGAAAATTTAAGGGGATTTTGACACACATGCATGGAAGATGGATATAGAGATGCTGAGTTACATACAGCCAAACTGACAAAATGGTAACACGTGAATTCAAGCAGTGGATGTAATACTTTCTTAATATTTGAAAACTTCATAATAAAGACTTAGAAAAAAGAAATTTTCAACACAAGTTCTGGATCCAACATCCTGAGTTCAAATCCAGGCCCTGCTGCCTCCTAGCTGTGTATTCCAACCAGTGTGTGCCTCAGT